ATAAATATTTTGGACCAGATTGGTCCGATCCAATATGTTTTGTTGGTCCGTCCAACCCATCTAAATTGATTTTGGATTGAATGGGGTCCAATCCAAAACAGGTTACAAATTTATTCTCATTCTTGCCATAAAAAAAATCATTTTTTGGAAAAAAGCGTTTGGTTCGTAGCAATATTTTCTCATTCTTCCCATTTTTACTCATTTTTTTCCATCTTGCAATTTCATCTTGGGTAAGAATGAGAAAGAACGAGAATTGAACCAAACATGACCTTAATATCTAAATGATTTCAATCCCATGAACCTTTTCCAATTTTCCTATGTATTTGAGCTAGCATTGTTAACATTAGGGCTGCAAGTCGGGCCGGGTTAGGTCGGGTTGAGGCCAACCCTAGCCCAACCCTAAGTTCTAAACCCCAACCCGACCAACCCAACCCTAACCCTAACCCTAACTAAATTCCTTCAACCCTAACCCAACCCAACCCAACCTTCTTCCCATCCTTTAAAACCTTATAGAATTTCTCGATTTTAGATCTTAACTCAACTTTTACTACATAGATTAATCCTATGTTTCATTAGTATCTGTTTGTTGACGTTATTTTTTTTGTTCTTTTCATACAAAATTCAGAAAAACAAGTGTTAGAAATGACTAGTTTATTATGAGTTATGACTTACGATAGATCTTTCTTGGGCGACAAACAACATAGAGGAGATGAAGAATAAAATTTTCAAAAAACAAATAATGTTATTAAGGTTTTAGTCTTTCTAATTAGGATTAAGTGAAGTGATTATCTTAAAAGAAATACATGATACTATGTGGTGGGGGCTATACAAATATCATGCATCTAAACAAATCAATGTTTGTTATATGTTACATATAACATATATTTATATATGACATGTACTATAGAGTCGAGTTCGGGTTGGGTTGGGTTGACTAAGAGGTCAACCCTAACCCAACCCGATGTAAAGTCGGGTTTATGAAATTCAACCCTAACCCTAACCCGAACATCAACCGACCCAATTGGGTTGGGTTCAGGCCAACCTGGCCCAAGTTGTAGCCTTAGTTAACATCAAGTTACAGATCAACCTCAAGGAATTTGAGAAAGATTCCAAAGTCTGAAAAACTGCATCAATCTTAATGCTGACTAAGAATGAAATTACTGATTAGGCGATTAAGAGTTCAAATCGTCTGTTACTACAGTGGTAGGATTCTCCCATAATAAGCAATCACAGGCCAGTTGGATATGGGTGCAATAAGTGCAGAGAAAAATTAATGGTCTTGCTGTGTAAATAATTAATAGTTTACGTATCCTGATTTAGTCACAGGCTCACAGCAAACAATATATGAGTTGTTGGTTTGTAATTTGTGGCTGTACATATTTATTTATTTATTTATTTTGAAAGCCCTTAGGCTGAATTCATTCATCATTGGAAATCATCTCAGCACTAATGACATGGGAGATACAAGAAGGGGGATGACCAAGTTAGAGGTCAGGTACAAAGAAAAGCAAATTTTACAACTTATGGCAGCACCAGCAACATAATAAATAGTTTACTTTTCCTGATTTAATCACACCAAATTATTTTTCTAGCAGTTACAGATAAACCTAGTAGAGCTGATGGTTTGTAATTTGTGGCCATAGATGATACCTGCATCCACGTCTTTTTTAAAATAAATAAAAAAGAAAAATTATTAAAAAAGAAAGAGAAAGAGAATACAGAATAGTGTTGGAGAGTCTAAACCTGAAAGGCCTTGGAAGGAGATGGGTGACGTGGATTAGAGGGTGTATAAGTTCTGCTTGGTTTTCAATCCTAATAAATGGAGAGCCGACTGGCTATTTTAATGCAGACGGACCTGAGACAAGGGTGCCCTCTCTCCCCCTTACTCTTTACTTTGGTAGATGATATCCCTCAGTTATTTACATCAAAAAGCAAGGGAGAGAAACCTGCTGAAAGGGTTTAGGTAGGGAAGAAATTCAGATATCTCACTTGATGTTCGCAGATGACATAGTCTTGTTCATGGAGGCGGATTGGGAAAACATCTCCAACCTAAAAAGGGTATTAAATATTTTTGAGCTGGTGACTGGGCTTAGAATTAACTTCAACAAAAGCGGTATTGTAGGCATAAATGTAAATGGCTCTCTGGTGGAAAGGTTCAAGGAGCTGTTTGGTTGTAAATTGGAGAAACTTCCTATCACCTATTTGGGAATGCCTCTTGGTGGGAATCCAAGGAGTCAAAGTTTTTGGGATCCAGTGGTAGAAAAATGCGAGAGAAGACTAGCTACATGGAAGAAAAGCTACCTGTCAAAAGGGGGTAGACTCACACTTATCAACACTTCCCTTGCCAATTTGCCAACCTATTACTTGTCGGTTTTCAGTACCCCGGGAGAAGTAAAAAAGTAAGATTGAGAAGCTTCAGCGGTACTTCCTATGGGAAGGAGGCGGCAAAAAGAAGGGTCATCTAGTTTCATGGAATCAGGTGTGTAAGCCCAAGAACCTTGGTGGTTTGGGGCTAGGACATATCAAAGAAAGGAACCTAGCTCTTCTTGGAAAGTGGTTGTGGAGGTTAAGGTTCCCCTTGGAGACGGAAGTGTTGTGGATAAAAATCATCAAGAGCAAGTACAAAAGACACGCCAATGGTTGGGATAGCAAGGTCCACCCAAACTGGGTTAAAGCCTCTAACCTTGGAAAGGTCTTTCTTCTGTTTATAACCTCTTTATTGATTTTGTAAGATACCAGGTGGGAAATGGGAATATAACCAAATTGTGGACTGATTTATGGTGGGGAGAGGACACCCTTGCAAAATCCTACCCTAGAATTTTTAACCTGTCCTGCTCCAAAGAAGCCACGGTAGCCTATAGCCTCAGTCACTCTCCCTCAGGATCCAGTTGGAATCTGAACCCAAGAAGGCCTCTAAGAGAGATAGAGCTTGCTGAAACAGCAAACTTGCTAAACTCTCTAAGTGAGGTTTACATCTCCCCAGCCTCCCCTGACCAAAGGATCTGGAAACTTAATCCTGCCAACAAGTTCTTAACTAACTCCTTTTTTAAGGCTCTAGTTTCAGAAGATCAGATCACTCCCTTCCCGGTTAAGAACGTTTGGAGACCACATGTTCCCCCTAGAGATTCTTTCTTTGTCTGGGAAGCCTACTTAAAGAAAATAAATACTTGTGATTTAATACACAAAAAGCTCAGAGGAAGGTTATGTATCTCCCCTCATGTCTGTCCTCTCTGCCTTGGTGATGGTGAAACAGCTAATCACATTCTTCTCCACTGCCCTGTCACTAGGAAGGTTTTGGTGTTTCTTCCTAAACTTAGTTGGCTACAGCTGGGTTTCCCCTGAGAAGGTAGTGGACCTCCTGTGGCAGTGGAAAGGCAAAGGTCTAGGAAAAAGAGGAATGGTATATTGGATTATGGTGACACATGCAGTCCTTTGGGGTATTTGGGAAGAAAGGAACAACAGAAACTTTGAAAACAAATTCAGAAATGTGGAAGACCTAATCTCTTACATAACTTTCCTCTGTAACCTTTGGGTTGGTTAATTCTGAAGCTTTCATAGGTCTGTCTTTAAATGACCTCCAAAGTAACCTTCCAGCCATCCTGCAGTCCTCTCCTAGATCTGAATCGACCATGAGAAACCTTATTAGGGAAGAAGGTGGGATGATCCTACACTTTGATGGTAGTGCCCTAGGATCTACCGGCCAAGTAGGAATTGGTGGTGTCTTCTGTGGGGAGAAGGGGATCAGCTGGGCTTATAGTGGTTCGATTGGGAGAGCTGATGCTGCAAAAGCAGAGGTCTTGTCAGCACTTACAGGAATTCGGCTTGCTAAACAGCTAGGCTTTTGCTCCTTAACTATAAAAGGGAACTCTGCAAATACAATAGCCTGGCTAAGGGAGAAGGAAGGAGGGCCTTGGAGACTTGCTCATCTGCTAGCTGAAGCTCGAGATATCTTAGAGTCATTGAATGTAAATCTGGTCTGGATTCCTAGGGAGCAAAACACTGTTGCAGACATCCTTGCAAAATCAGGGGTTTCTAGGGAAAGTTTGTATAGTGACTTCTGCTTACCTCTATAATTCTGCCTCTGCTTCTTTAGCTTGTAGTACATTTTCTCATGTATTTGTTCCTGTTTTAATTTAATAAGTTACCTTTGCTCAAAAAAAAAAGTTGATAAGAATCACACAGAAAAAAGAAACAACAAAGTAACAAACCCTTGGACTTAACCATTTATAGGCTCACTTTCATAGTTTCAGTTGTGGTATCAAGTCATTCCAATGATAATTTAAGCACTGTGACTTTGAACAATAATACCTTGTTTGAGTGGTAAAACCATCACTCTAAGATGTGGCTCGCTCTAAGGGCAATCAATCATAGTTAATCAGAAAAATCAGCTCTTCAACTTAAGTTACTGCTTCTCTCCATCTTGTGGATTGACTTAGCTAATTGTCATGTAGAACTGACATAGTGAATTGCCAGTATGTCCAACTTCACCCATCACACATTGCAATGAGATGGTGGTAGGACATTGGTCAAATATGGTTACAACTGCAGTTGGGGAAGTCTGGCCCAATTTGGTGGGAACTGAGGAGCACAAGAGTTCAGATATCCTTCAAAAGGATTTTTTTTAATGTAAAAAGGGAAATTATATTAAAGAAAATAAAATATTGAAAACAACCTAATAAGACCTGCATAATCCTTATTGGAACCCAACAATTTACCTAGGTCACATTTGTTTGAGGTGTAAAATCGAACTGGGGTAAACTTTACACCCAGGTTCGATTTTGCAAGCGTTTGGATAGAGTGTATATTTACACCGTAAATTGGTGTAAAACTCCATTTTGAAACTTTACACTGATAATTAATGTAAAAAATACATCGAAGTAACTTACCTATTTCTACCATCAAAGTAAAATTCCTCACTCTAATGCCTCTCTTCTCCATTTATCTGTTTGCTCCATCTACCTCCACCTTGCTCGCGGTTTCTCCCTCGTTGGCACCACTCTCAAATCTCTCTCACTTGGTGGTGGCAAGGTCGGCCTTCTCGGCGGCAACCTTGGCCACACCAATGGTGGAAGCTCTGGGCTTCTTTTTAGCATATAAGGTGAAGTGACGGCAGCCACTAAAATAAATCCCTTGCAGCCATGGTCGTTGGAGAGAAGGGTAAAGTGTACCGTGAGCCACGCCTCCTGCTTGCTGCCCAAACAACCTCTTAGACGCCTCTGCCCCGACAGCCTTCACATCCTCCCATCTCATCTTGCATGCCTCTGCCATTTTCACATCCTCACATCCTCCTGACAACTCTCTCTTGTTTGGTGGTTTGTAGTAGAGAGAACTGTGAAGAGAAGCATCAAGGAAAGAGCCAGTCTATAGGCTACAGGCTATAGACTATAGGTTAGCAGACACATCAAATGGTGAGCAATGATGCGTTTGCTACAAGCTACAGGTTGTAGCAGGCTAAAGCTACAAGCTACAGGTTATAGGATAAAGCATATCCGAACTATATTTGGACAAACTCATTAGCCAGTAGCTCAAGACACTCAAGGCCGTAGTCCAAATTCAAATAACTTGGGAACCGTTGGATCAGCATTGTTGCATCATATAGGACTGTTGCGAAGTGCATATTGGTGTATGGTTGGAAATTTACACTGACATCTATTCCAAATTCCAACAAAAAATATATCAAAATTTACACGTTGACAACCAGTTCCAATTTCCATCCATCACTGAACTGGTTCATATTTTCTATCAGTGTAAAATTGAATTTACACCTAAAACAAACATAGCCCTAAGGACTCTTGTGTAAAGTAATAAGACCTATTATTAAGTGTAACATTATCTAGCCTAATCCGAAAAGTAATGACCGGGACACGGAACAACAGAGCTGATCTCCAATGTTTCACCATTGTTGGGTTTCAAGAAGGATTGTGTATAAACTATAACAGAATATTAGAGGAACCAACCAATATATTTACATATTGAGTATATGGTTAAAGTTGCAACTGAAAGTTAGTGAAAGGCCTAGCCTTTGATGACTAAAGACATTCAGCTCTCCCTTCAGTGAAGGCATCCAGAGCCTGTAGTCTACACACGTAAAAAGATACCTGGCCTCTTGAGGCATTCTTAACATTGTTAACAATTCCTGTGTCACTTTTTTTTTTCTTATCTGTAACTTGTAAAGGACTTCATTGATGATCGATTAACCAATTTCTGTATCACCTTGTGGTTCTCAATATCTTAAACAGTCTACACATACATGGATGCATGACATCAAGAAAAAGTATATGATCTACAACTGAACTATCCTACCTTCCTATTTCAGGAAGATTAAAGCTTTGGTCTATCAACTCTGAATATCAAACTGAAATCCTGTTTTATATGAAAACAGATGGAAAAATTTATTTCTCCAAGAGGACAGAAAAAGAAGAACCTCGAAGAACAGGTTTACAATATATCCTAAGTGGATCAGATCTTATTCATCAATTGGGGTAAGTAGAACCGGATGTATAACGTGTATGTAGCATTGAATTATATGTCCTTAACTTGGACAGAGATCATAAGAAAAATCTCCTTGCCTCTCGGCATAAACAATGGATTAAGTGAAAATTTTAAACACTAAAAATTAGCATTCATTTATTTGAGAAAAACAACAGGAGGGGGAAATTAAGTGAAACCTTGAAAGGCTCGGAATCTCTGTAGTTTTGGTTACCTCACTAAAGATCCGATAATCTGACACCGCCGAAACTCCCCCTAAATTTCTTCACTCTAGCTTGCTCAAGACGTTATCATTATGAATATCCAACATTTGGGAATAAAACGTGAATTAAAAAAAAAAAAACCTCTAGCTTTCCTGTTTATCCTCCTTCGGTGCGGTTTCTCGATCTGATTCTCGCTCCAATTCCTTGGCCGCCTCTTCCTCCATGGCCTTCTCCGCCTGAAGTATTGGTTCATAGTAGTCGGCGTGGGCGTCCATACACTTTTTAAGCAATCCCGTCACCTCGAAGCACTTCTCGACAACATCTTCTTTGCTTTTCTCTGCATCTTCGACGCATTTTTCCCAGGCAATGAAGCTTTCTTTACATTCACCTCCCTTCATGAACAGGCAGAACCCACATTCTCCCTCATCCTCTTCACCTTCTTCTTCTTCCTCTTCGCCTTCTCCTTCGCTTCTGGGGACATGCGAAACTTCTGGATTTTGACCTTCCAGGGTTTCGTTGTTGATAGAGAGTTCTGAGACCTGTTCTGGAGCTTGATTTTCGAAGTTAATGGTTTCAGATGAAGCGTTGGAAGCTGCGGGGGATAAATTATCCAGGATTTCAGTACCAGAGGAAACCATGTTGACCTCTTTAGGGTTTCTAGTGATCGTGGTGGTTGTCGCCGCTGGTGTTGTGTTGCCGCTGGTAATGGTGTTGACTGTTGGTTGAGAAATAGGTTAAACCCTAAACCCTCCGGCCTATATAAAACTCGAACCCTCCCTCGAGACATCATGGGTGACGGTAGGTTGGTAACAAGTTGACTTCCACCAAGAACAGAACAGGAAAGAGGAAACGATTCTATATTCCTATTAACGGTGGATGTCAAAGTCATTACATTTGAAAAGTAAATAAAAGAAAAAGTTAAAAGAGGCGTGGCCTTATCATCAACCGTGAATCGTGAATGGGGCCGTTTTCTCCCAAAACTTTCTTGGTCGATGCGAGGCCACGCGTCCTCGAAAGATGACCGCGTAACAACTAAGCGGCCGTTTGATAATAGCCGGAGATGCTGAACTGAAAAAGCTCATGGCTTTTTCTTGTAGTGAAGTGGGCCGTTTGATGAAGTTTATGGCTTTAATTATTTTAACAATTAAAAGATAAAATGAAATTCTGTTTAACTGTTGAGCAACTTCGGACATTATCAAACGGCTTCTAAAGCATCAATTTGACAGAACTACAATTAGCGTAACCAGGCGCAGGGCGTTAGACCCGGTGGTTGGACCATCAGAAGTAGGGGTGTCAATTGAACCAGATTTTGTCCACAATAGGATTCCATTACAAATATCCAATGAACACTCTTGACCATTTTGAACCAGTCCAATTCAATGTCTGAACCGTTCAATTTGTTCAAATTGGTTTTAACTTAGATTAGTTCCAACAAGGTTTTAAAAAACGAACCAGACAATGAACAGTTCAGGGGGCCGGTTCCCGGGTCGAACAGTTTTGTCGTTCAAACCGAACAGACAACCCATCCTGACAAAAATAAAAAAACTAAAAAATGGCCAAAAATCGTTGAGCGGACCACTTGGGTCAACGGTTTGCTAACCAAGTCAACAATTTTTGGCCAAGAGACAGTTATGGGGTAAAACGGAACCGATCAGGTGACCAATTCCCAATTTTTATGGTCCGACCATCCAATCTAGGCCAGTTTTGAAAACATTGAGTTCCAACCCAAACATGGTCCATTGTCACCTGTATTCTCATCTTCTATCGGTTGACCGGATATTAGTTCAGTTGACCCAATCCAGTATAAATCCATTATGGATGGACCATGTCCAATCCAATCCAATAAATACTTTGTGTTGGATTGAAGTCTCTCTATGTACGAGTGTTCGGCTTATAAGAGTTCTTATTAGCCTATACTTAAGTTTAAGTTATCCTGTATTGGGCCTAAGCATGTTTAATGTTTTTAAGTTGTCTAGGTGTCCCATCACTAATCTGGGGCATTCCAGTAATTCCTTGTATCATTGTACTACATTCTAATATAAATAACAGTATTGTCGACTGAGCTATTCAGTTCGACATTCACAACATTTCAGAAGTCTTCTTCTCTTCTCTACTACTTCGAATACAGCTCCTAAGCTCACATGGTATCAGAGCATTAGCTTCTCCCTAGTTTCAGCCATCGCACTCTCTCTTCTCTTGCTGTCTTTTCATCTTCTTTCTTCTTTTTCTAGGTTGCTGCAGTGAAAACCTAGGGTTGTAAGAGAACAAAGCAAGTTCGGGTTTCCCTTGGTTGTAGGGATCAAGGGAAGTAAGACCTAGAAGCAGATGTCCTACTAGGTTATTTCCAGCAAATAGTAGCTATTTGGCTACTAAGAGAGGTATGTATAGGACGGACCTAGTTGAGGACTGATTTCAGCAGTCCTAACACTAGCCGAAAGGGGGAGAGCTTCTTCTACAGTTGCAGCTTCGAAGCTCCAGCAAGACTTGAACAACACAGTGGTAAAGAGCCCTACTTTCAGGTCGGTTATCAGCCCAAAACCTCTCACTTGCTGTTGTACCCGAACTGCTTCAGCCCAAGTGAAGTCTACCTAGCGAGCTACTAGCACCTGATTGTCCAGCACTGTGAACACTTCGGCCGGCTCTAAACAGAGCCATCTACTCTAGGACTGAAGTCAGGATGTCCTCGCTATCTGGAGAAGTTTCCTCTAGAGATAACAGACCTGCCGCAAGGTCTTCAAACCTGGAAAACCCTAATCTGCACAGCTTGCAGATTACAAGTGTGCTACTAGATGAGTATAACTTCAGAGAGTGGTCTGTCTCAGCAAGGCTTTTCATTACTTCCCGTGATATCATAGGCTATTTAGATGGGGACAAGAAGGAACCTGAAGTCGGCAGTCCTGAGCATGCCGTGTGGCGCAAGGAAAATGCCACAGTCATGTCTTGGTTGCTGGCCTCCATGACTCCTCAGGTTGCCAAAACTGTTCATCATTTCCCTATAGCTGCTAAGATTTGGGAAAAGGTATCTAAGACCTACGGCCAGAAGAAGAACAATRCTARAATCTACAGATTGAACYAAGACATTGCAGCTCTAAGGCAAGGAGATATGACGGTTGCAACATACTTTGCAACTCTGGAAGGCCTTTGGGAAGAGCTTGATCATCACTTGATATTGGATTGCGAAAATGCCAGGGACAAGGAGAGACATGATAAGCAAATTGAAGAGAGCAGAACCTTCAAGTTTCAGGCTGGCCTAGACCCAGTGGTATAAGGTCACAAATTCTATGGAGAGATGAATTGCCGGAGCTACACCATGTCTATTACCTGGTGAGAAATGAAGAAGTCAGGAGAAAGGAGATGTAAGTTGACTCTCAGACATAGTCAACTGAACTATCTGGAGAACATTCAGCCCTAGTCTCCACTAAGGGAAACAGATATCCAGACAAGAAGTCCCTCAAGTGCACCCACTATGGTGGTGAGAAACATACAAAAGAAAAATGTTGGGTCATGTATCCTCATCTGAAGCTAGCTGCATTGAGAAAGGACAAGAGACAACATAAGGGTCATACGGCAAGTGGGAATCTTTCCACCAACAACAACAGTGGTGACAACTCACAAAGTACTCCAACAGTGTCTTCTTCCTCCATAGGGCAGGTTGCTGACTCCTCTGGAACTGGTATTTTGGGCTTCACGGCTAGTGAGGTAGAGGTTCTCAACCGAGCATTAACCCGTCTAAAAATCAATTCTTTTGCTTCCACCTCTCTTGCCAGATCAGGTACAGTCTCTGCCTTTAGTGTAACTAGCTCCATTGATTCCACTTCTTGGGTGATTGATTCCGGAGCAATTGACCATATGACACATATGTCCTCCTTATTCTCTTTATATCATTTGTTGTCTGGCCAGGATAAGATGAGAGTGGTTGATGAGTCTTTTTCCACCATCTCTGGAAAGGGGGTGGTTGACCTAAGCAATGACCTCTCTCTTAAATCAGTCTTACATGTTCCTAGTCTTACCTCAAATCTTTTGTCTGTTTCAAAGCTTACAAAAAATTTGAACTGTAGTATAACTTTTTTCCCTACTCATTGTGTCTTCCAGGACAGATTGACGAGGAGAACGATTGGGAGTGGTCATGAGTATGGAGGCCTCTACTATTTTGATGCGGACATCGGCTCAGCCCTACAAGCTTCTGCTACTACTAGTCCAGAAAGTATGGAGTCAATAACTAGGCTGCACCTGTGGCATGCTAGGCTAGGTTATGTGTCTTTCTCTTCATTAGCAATGTTGTTTCCCGAATTGTTTAAGGGCATTCCAAGTTAGAGTTTAATTTGTGATGTGTGTCAAATGTCAAAACAATGTAGAACAGTGTATCCAACTTCCAGTAATGAAATTTGAGCTCTTTTTTATTTGGTTCATTCTGATGTTTGGGGACCTTCACCCATTGTTTTCATTGATGGCTTCTGTTACTTTATCAGTTTTATTGACCATTATTCTCGGTGCACATGGATTTATCTATTAAAAGGGCGAGATGAAGTATCACAGATAACTATGGTTTTTTGCAAGATGATTGAAACACAATTTGATAAGAAGATTAAGCAATTCTAGTCAAACAATGCTGCTAAATACTTGGAAAAATCCCTAAACTCATTCATGGAAGATGCTAGCATGTTACACCAATCATCCTGTGCTAATACCCCTCAGCAAAATGGAGTTGTTGAGCGCAAGAACAGACATCTATTAGAGACAGCTCGAACCCCACTATTTCAGCACAAAGTGCCCAAGCAATACTGGTCTCAAACTGTACTCACTACATCATACCTGATAAATCAGATGCCATCTAAGGTATTGGGTATGAAGACCCCTTTCTCTGTTTTGTGTTTCACTCTTCCAGAATTTCCTCTTCCCTCACGGGTTTTTAGTTGTATATGTTTCATACATGTGAAGGATCTAAAGAAAACCAAACTGGAACCCAAGGCTACAAAGGGAATATTTTTTGGGTATTCTCCTATACAAAAGGGGTACAAGTGTTATGATCATGTCTCCAAGAAAAAGTATGTCACCAGAGATGTAGTCTTTTTTAAGCCTCAATCCTATTTCCAGTCTTCTCAGAATCCTCTTCAAGGGGAGACTAGTAGATTAGAAGAGGATTCTCATTCTCCATCATTTTTTGTTCCCCTATCTAACTCAGGTCTTCCATCATCTTCCACTACTCCTAGCTGTAACATTTCGGGTCAACCTAGTAAGGCTCCAAATGTGCCAGTTACTCCTCCTGGTGCAACAAATGCTCCTGAAGATTCCAGTAGGCAACAGAAGGAGATACTTACATACAATAGAAGAAAAAATGGCTCTCAACCTCATGATTGCAACCAGTTGGACTCAGATCAATCTGTCTCTGCAATTCAAGGTAATTCTGACTCACATACTTCGGATTTGGATCTTCCTGTTGTTCTTCGTAAGCCTGTCCGTTCTTGTACCACCCGACATCCCATAGCTAATTTTGTTTCTTACTCACATTTATCTCCTACCTATCACTCCTTTGTGTCTGCTCTTTCCTCTGTACGTGTTCCTTCTAGGCACTCAGAGGCAACATCTGATCCAAGGTGGAAAGAAGATATGAATGAAGAGATGAAAGCCCTAATGAAAGCAAGAACTTGGGAATTAGTGGACCTGCTAGAGGGGAAGGGCACTGTTGGGTGCAAGTGGGTATTTACAAAAATGCATAGGGAGTATGGGTCAATCGAGAGGTATAAGGCCAGACTTGCAGCAAAGGGATTTACTCAAAATGAAGGAATTGACTACAAAGAAACCTTTGCCCCAGTAGCAAAGCTCAACACAATCCGGGTTCTATTGTCACTAGCAGCAAATTTCTCATGGGAACTTCATYAGCTGGATGTGAAGAATGYCTTCCTAAATGGTGATCTTCATGAAGAGGTATTCATGGAACCTCTACCAGGCTATGATGTTGGCAAGAAGGTGTATAAACTAAGGAAAGCATTATATGGTTTGAAGCAGTCTCCCCGGGCATGGTTCGAGAGACTTTGTATGGCCATGAAGAAAGTGGGGAACACTCAGAGTGGTGCAGATCATACCTTGTTTACAAGGAGACAGGATAGCAAGCTTACGACACTCATTGTTTATGTGGATGATATGGTGATTACCGGGAATGACTTGGAAGAGATAAARAGAYTGAAGGAGTTCCTAGCTTCAGAATTTGAGATCAAAGACTTGGGAAATCTGAGATATTTTCTTGGGATTGAAGTTGCTAGATCAAGAGAAGGAATCTACATATGTCAGCGGAAATATATGCTAGATCTCCTAGAGAAAACAGGCATGATGAGATGCAGGCCAACAGACACTCCGATAGAATAGAACAATGGCCTACAAGAATCAATGGGTAAGGACTACTGTGATAGAGAAAGATACCAAAAATTGGTAGGAAAGCTGATATACTTATCCCTTACTCAGCCAGATATTGCCTATGCAGTGCATGTTGTCAATCAATTCATGCACTCACCAAAGATCCCTCACATGAGAGCAGTTGAAAGAATTCTCAGGTACTTGAAGACTTGCCCAGGGAAGGGAATTCTATTCA